TTAAGGTGATTGATGATGTATGATGGCCGCTAAGGAGGAGAAAACGTTCGTACTCTATGATGGCTGTAACTTAATAATCCATCACCTTAACTTCATAATCGAGATGAGAGTATCGCCGAAATAGAGTGATTAAAGCTGGAGTTCGCTAAGTTTGAATTGTATATTTTATTTTTCAGGGGTTCGGCTAATTTAAATATTAACAAATGCATTAAGGACACACAAAAAAGAAGCTCATATCGCATTATTAGTTTGTCCATCCACCCCCCCCCCCCCCCCTTCCACCGTTGAGTACAATGTATCAGTCTGAGGAGAAACACAAGACGCAAGTGACCCAAGCCGAATATACCAGTGACCCAAGTCTCATATAAGTGACCTGTCTAAGTAAGAGAAGATACTGGGACTACAGGCGCAGAAAAGCTGCTCAGTGGTTTTATCACCCAACAGTTAAAACTACTACTTCAACAGAGAGAATACAAACACATCAAACCAAAAACAATTATAACATTTCATGTAGAATAACAAACTTATGATATAGTAAACTCATCACTACTGTTTCTAATGTTTCTGAGTTTGTTAAAAGCGTGACTGTGTTATAAACACTAGATCTAGTTTTACTATCACCTTGCAACTACTTACATACAAATAATAAAATATCGATGTTACGCTCTGCTACTTAATTCAAGTCCAACACAGGGGAAAATATATCAGAGTGTTAGCCATGTATTGAAGTAATAATAAACCTTAGACTAAACCCCGAACCCCAACTTTACCAGTCACGTTACGGTTTATGTGACACCGAACCCCAACTTTACCAGTAACGTTAAGGTTTATGTGACACCAAACCCCAACTTTACCAGTAACGTTAAGGTTTATGTGACACCGAACCCCAACTTTACCAGTAACGTTAAGGTTTATGTGACACCGAACCCCAACTTTACCAGTAACGTTAAGGTTTATGTGACACCGAACCCCAACTTTACCAGTAACGTTAAGGTTTATGTGACACCGAACCCCAACTTTACCAGTAACGTTAAGGTTTATGTGACACCGAACCCCAACTTTACCAGTAACGTTAAGGTTTATGTGACACCGAACCCCAACTTTACCAGTAACGTTAAGGTTTATGTGACACCGAACCCCAACTTTACCAGTAACGTTAAGGTTTATGTGACACCGAACCCCAACTTTACCAGTAACGTTAAGGTTTATGTGACACCGAACCCCAACTTTACCAGTAACGTTAAGGTTTATGTGACACCGAACCCCAACTTTACCAGTAACGTTAAGGTTTATGTGACACCGAACCCCAACTTTACCAGTAACGTTAAGGTTTATGTGACACCGAACCCCAACTTTACCAGTCACGTTACGGTTTATGTGACACCAAACCCCAACTTAACCAGTCACGTTACGGTTTATGTGACACATCTAAGCGATAGTACAAAAATAAAGAGTCGTGGTAGGTGAAACGATTTAAAAAAATTAAATTTAAATGACGGCGCCCATGTCAAGAGTTCAATAGGTCAGAAAACACGGCAGGGCTGATACAAGGAGATCGTGTGAACGCGGTTACGTCTCACTGATTGCTAATCTGCGGATCAGACAGGTCCAACCGTCCACCTTGTAGCTTACCTCGGTACCTAGCACACGCCTAATGCACTATTGATTTTACTCGCCCGTACCGTACATGCTGATATTGAATGTTGATTCAAAGTGTTACAAATACCACTGGGGCCATTGATAATAAAAACTTAGAGAGGCATTGGTCGCACTCACAAAGCCATTATAGTAGGTAGCACTCACAAGTAAAGCCTCCATTGGTAACATTCACTAGTAAAGCCATTTCTGGTAGCGCTCATTAGTAAAGCCATTTCTGGTAGTACTTAGTAGTAAAGCCATTTCTGGTAGCACTCACTAGTAAAGCCATTATAGGTAGCACTCACTAGTAAAGCCATTTCTGGTAGCGCTCATTAGTAAAGCCATTTCTGGTAGTACTCAGTAGTAAAGCCATTTCTGGTAGTACTCACTAGTAAAGCCATTATAGGTAGCACTCACTAGTAAAGCCATTTCTGGTAGCGCTCATTAGTAAAGCCATTTCTGGTAGTACTCAGTAGTAAAGCCATTATAGGTAGCACTCACTAGTAAAGCCTTCATTGGTAACATTCACTAGTAAAGTGATCATTGGTAACACTCGCTCGAAAAGCCCTCATTGGTAACATTTACTAGTGAAGTCTTTTCTGATAACACTCACTAGTAAAGCCACCTTTGGTAACATTCAGTGAAGTCATTATTGGTAACACTAAAGGGACTACCATTGGTAACAGTAAAGGGACTACCATTGGTAACAGTAAAGGGACTACCACTGGTAACACTAAAGGGACTACCATTGGTAACACTAAAGGGGCTACCACTGGTAACACTAAAGGGACTACCATTGGTAACACTAAAGGGGCTACCACTGGTAACACTAAAGGGACTACCATTGGTAACACTAAAGGGACTACCATTGGTAACAGAACTGAAGCTAGACAATTTAACTTACAAATGAGAGGTGTGCGATGGTCAGGGGCTAGCCTGCCCTTTAATTTCTCTTGGCCAACAGCTAACTAGATTAGAGTCATGGCACTCACCCAAAACTCTCCACCCCAACCCCACCTTTTTAGCGCCGTTCCGCGAGTTTCTTTTAACAAAAAAACTCAGCCGATAAATTACATCGCCATTCACTACACATAGTGCCACGTACTGTTCTAAAATACCTAGTTGAGCTTTTGTAAAAAGTTGCAATTAAATTTTACGATATAAAAATTCCATAGTCTGCTACAGCAACCAAAAGAGTTTTTTTTAAAAATCATTTTAGTATAATAGAAGGTTTGTTTTTATAAGCGAAAATTATAAAACCGTTTTAAAAATACACGACAAGGAAAATCTATTTTCCCAAATAATAATGTAACACTCAGAACACAGTAATGTAATACACTTCCCACTATTTAAATGTGAGGCTCATTACACAATACCAGAAAGTACTTGGGTGCAATCACGACGTACAACCAACACCACACATATGACACTGGATGTACTTTTAAGTACAAGCACATCATACAACCAACACCACACATATGACACTGGATGTATTTGGGTGCAAGCACATCATAAACCAACACCACACATATGACACTGGATGTATTTGGGTGCAAGCACATCATAAACCAACACCACACATATGACACTGGATGTACTTGGGTGCAATCACGACATACAACCAACACCACACATATGACACTGGATGTATTTGGGTGCAAGCACATCATAAACCAACACCACACATATGACACTGGATGTACTTGGGTGCAATCACGACATACAACCAACACCACACATATGACACTGGATGTATTTGGGTGCAAGCACATCATAAACCAACACCACACATATGACACTGGATGTACTTGGGTGCAATCACGACATACAACCAACACCACACATATAACGACACTGGATGTACTTACGTGCACAACAACGGTGCTGCAGCATGTTCGAACCTAAGATAGCCATAAGGAACGGTTGGTCAACTGACCAGCCTAACCCTGCTCGCATTGACTGGACAAAATGTGACAGTAACTGACCGAGTGGACACTAGCCAGATGGGGCGGCAACCGGAAACCGAGCCAGTTTTTGACCAGTGACCATTAGCATGCATACCATAACCGACGGTTGGGGTCACTTTTACAAACACCGTCAGTTCCCAGGCCAAGCCGACTATGTACATTCACGCAGGGGTTCTCACAATCATCAAAATATAAGGGGCGGGGGATAGGGGGTTCTGGAGTGGAGGAGAAAGGAGCTATAGTAGAGGAAGCAAAGAAGAAGAAACGACGTTTTAAGCCACAAGAAATAACCATTTGCTCAGTGCAAGCCACAAGGTTTACAGAACAAATCAAACTCACAACGTTAAGATGAAGGCAGCTTCAACCGTAGTAGAAAAAATATCCCTCCCCCCGAGAGGTTTGTAGATTTGTTTAAAAAAATAATAATTGAAAAACAACAAGAGCTCTCTAGAAAAAATGTTTAGTTAGCGACGTGGCTTCCATCAAACACAAAGAATGTCTAATGAACGTGTACACACTGCGGACGGGGGAGGATGGGTTTGACGAATATAAGAAATCAATACATTCCAGAGCTTGATACAAACATGGCATTATGAGGAGATTCAGATGTTCCAGAGGATAAAACACGCTCAGATAATAAAACCTTCTTGACTTTAACAGGTGCTGCTATATATAGAGTTCTTAAATCTAGCCTAAGGTAGAAATATCTGGTGTACTGGTGTCAGATGACATGTTATAGACACCGAAGATATATAGAGGATATGGTATAGAATTGATGTCCCACCACAGATATCAGGACAACGTATAGAGACCGAGGACAATATATGGAATTCATGGTTGGGACATCAGGGGATGATAGAGAGACAGAGGGCATGGTATAGACACTGTTGTTAAATAATAAACATCAGAACAAGATATAGATGACATGTGGTATAGAGAAAGGACATGGTTTAAAACTATGGGATGGTACATAGAAGACATAGTATAAACATCAGGAGATGGTACAGAGAGGACATGGTATAAACATCAGGAGATGGTACAGAGAGGACATGGTATAAACATCAGGAGATGGTACAGAGAGGACATGGTATAAACATCAGGAGATGGTACAGAGAGGACATGGTATAAACATCAGAGGAGTTACAGAGATGTAGATAGCGTTAAGGGACGTGGAAAAGATAGACATCGTGGCATAAACGATAAAGCAAGGACATGGTATAGGCCTACACATTAAAGGCAGATCTTGGGTACGCACTATTTATATGATCATAACTTATCTTTAAGCCTCTGAAAGTTTTAATGATTCCTTACTCAATCAAATGTTTCCGCTCCTCTGATAAAAGTTGAGTTAAAACAAAACAAGCTCTGTTTGTTATCTAGCTAAAGAGTACTCACAGTTGAGCAGCATGGGCTGAAGTTTGGGCTCTTCGTACAGGCAATCCGGAGCGGCCCATGTCTGGCTGCGACGCATCATCGTCAGGGTAGATAAATCACACGGCAACGGTCACGTGATGACCGTCTGTTCGAGACCAGAGCTGGTCGTCGACATGAAATGTTCCAAATCCCGAACCTCCAATCTCGAATGGCAGTTACGAGCCCCAATCAATATAATAGGAAACGATCAGGGACACAATAAAAAAGGATCAAATTTTCCATGGTCGTTAGCCTGGTTCACGCTGAAGTTTTTCTCAAGCTGCCGGTGATGAACGAGGGCCATCAAAAGCAATCAAACACTTCTAGCAACAACATTTCAAATCAGACGGGGTTTAGTTTTAACTTGACAACCATGCACGTGATAATGGTGCGCGGACGAAAGGCTGTTTAAACAACTAATATCTAGATCTAAATGTAGACGGGTTTAACGGTAGCATAGTAAATCCAAGACATGAGATTTTCTCAACACAATTTAAATTTATAGTAATGGAGACAATAATATCTCTGTCGCGTGTTTAACCAACTCACACTAAACAAAACTACTAAACCAGTACGATCAAAGTGTCATATGTTTAACTAACTCACACTAAACAAAACTACTAAACCAGTACGATCAAAGTGTCACATGTTTAACTAACCAACTCACACTAAACAAAACTACTAAACCAGTACGATCAAAGTATCACATGTTTAACTAACTAACTCACACTAAACAAAACTACTAAACCAGTACGATCAAAGTGTCACGTGTTTAACTAACGCACACTAAACAAAACTACTAAACCAGTACGATCAAAGTGTCACATGTTTAACTAACGCACACTAAACAAAACTACTAAACCAGTACGATTAAAGTGTCACATGTTTAACTAACTCACACTAAACAAAACTACTAAACCAGTACGATTAAAGTGTCACATGTTTAACTAACTCACACTAAACAAAACTACTAAACCAGTACGATCAAAGTGTCACATGTTTAACTAACTCACACTAAACAAAACTACTAAACCAGTACGATCAAAGTGTCACGTGTTTAACTAACGCACACTAAACAAAACTACTAAACCAGTACGATCAAAGTGTCACGTGTTTAACTAACGCACACTAAACAAAACTACTAAACCAGTACGATCAAAGTGTCATATGTTTAACTAACTCACACTAAACAAAACTACTAAACCAGTACGATCAAAGTATCACATGTTTAACTAACCAACTCACACTAAACAAAACTACTAAACCAGTACGATCAAAGTATCACATGTTTAACTAACTAACTCACACTAAACAAAACTACTAAACCAGTACGATCAAAGTGTCACGTGTTTAACTAACGCACACTAAACAAAACTACTAAACCAGTACGATCAAAGTGTCACATGTTTAACTAACGCACACTAAACAAAACTACTAAACCAGTACGATTAAAGTGTCACATGTTTAACTAACTCACACTAAACAAAACTACTAAACCAGTACGATTAAAGTGTCACATGTTTAACTAACTCACACTAAACAAAACTACTAAACCAGTACGATCAAAGTGTCACATGTTTAACTAACTCACACTAAACAAAACTACTAAACCAGTACGATCAAAGTGTCACGTGTTTAACGCACACTAAACAAAACTACTAAACCAGTACGATCAAAGTGTCATATGTTTAACTCACACTAAACAAAACTACTAAACCAGTACGATCAAAGTATCACATGTTTAACTAACCAACTCACACTAAACAAAACTACTAAACCAGTACGATCAAAGTATCACATGTTTAACTAACTAACTCACACTAAACAAAACTACTAAACCAGTACGATCAAAGTGTCACGTGTTTAACTAACTCACACTAAACAAAACTACTAAACCAGTACGATCAAAGTATCACATGTTTAACTAACCAACTCACACTAAACAAAACTACTAAACCAGTACGATCAAAGTGTCACATGTTTAACTAACGCACACTAAACAAAACTACTAAACCAGTACGATCAAAGTGTCACATGTTTAACTAACTCACACTAAACAAAACTACTAAACCAGTACGATCAAAGTGTCACATGTTTAACTAACTCACACTAAACAAAACTACTAAATCAGTACGATCAAAGTGTCACATGTTTAACTAACCAACTCACACTAAACAAAACTACTAAACCAGTACGATCAAAGTGTCACATGTTTAACTAACTCACACTAAACAAAACTACTAAACCAGTACGATCAAAGTGTCACATGTTTAACTAACTCACACTAAACAAAACTACTAAACCAGTACGATCAAAGTGTCACATGTTTAACTAACTCACACTAAACAAAACTACTAAACCAGTACGATCAAAGTGTCACATGTTTAACTAACTCACACTAAACAAAACTACTAAACCTGTACGATCAAAGTGTCACATGTTTAACTAACTCACACTAAACAAAACTACTAAACCAGTACGATCAAAGTGTCACGTGTTTAACTAACGCACACTAAACAAAACTACTAAACCAGTACGATCAAAGTGTCACATGTTTAACTAACTAACACTAAACAAAACTACTGAACCAGTACGATCAAAGTGTCACATGTTTCCAAACTCACACGTCGACTCGAGAGACACAAAAACCATCTGACATTGATTTTTTTTTTTTATCTGATGGGTCGGATGCTTTTCTAACAGCTCGGCTTATACGCTTTTATCTTAATCCTATTAGAAGCAACACAAGTACGGCGTGCCAATAGAATCAACATTAGACCTAGGCTTCAGTCGCCACGAGTTATCGCTGAGATCTACAACTTGGCTATCGATGTTTCATACCACTGGCGCGGGATGTATGCGATCGTCTATTTTTACTCGATGGATTTTAAATTTTTTTTAATTATGATGTACAACGAATCAATGATCAACTTAAAAAATTGATCCAGTTTTTTTTTTTAAATTGAGTTACATATTAACTTTATTTTTATACATACAAAAGGGGAGGGGTATCGTAATCTACATAATAAATTCCGCAAGTAAACGCCACAAAGTAGCACACAATCCATCAGAATAAAACAGGGACTAGATATACTAACCTACTACACAAACTCGGCGACTCTAAGGCAACACATGACAACCCACCTGAAAAACACAGCGCCACTAGAGCAAGAAGATAGCTCTTAAGGGGGAAAACTGCGCCACTAAAGCAACATGACAGCTCATAAGAAAAATAAATTTGCCACTTTGCCGAGTGATAATCCACCAGAAATAGCGCCACTGAGGCAAGATGACGACAATCCACCAGAAAAACACAGCGCCACTGAGGTAGGATGACGACAATCCACCAGAAAAACACAGCGTCACTGAGGCAGGATGACGCCAATCCACCAGAAAAACACAGCGCCACTGAGGCAGGATGACGCCAATCACTCCACAACAGCACACGTTAATTGCCAGCTTAGCTTCGGAGACGTCATCGATTGTCTTTCACGGCGGCGCAGCTTTTTTTTCTTACATTTTTTCCCCTGCTAAACCTGAACACACCTACATTAGAGACAACCATCTACAGCAAGTGACGCTGGTCGGGAGGGTCTGTGGGTTGCTGGGGCAGCCCTAAAGACTTACATTGGACCGATCGTATAACACGGGCCTAAAATAAACCGTTATTGACCAACTACTGGGTAATCGCTGTCGTAACGGTAGTAACAGCTCTGGGAATAACACCAATGAAAAGAACATTCGATTACGTGTTCGGAATAAGTCGATTATAATAATCTGCCGAAAGGGGGAGTGTTGTACGGTGGGGTGCAAGGGGGAGACTTAATACAGTTAGAGTCACGACATGTGATGTAGCAATATTCACATAAGGAGGGAGGAGCTATTACAATAAACAAATATTGCGAAATCCAGTCGCAGAAATACTCTGGTAGGATTAACAATAATTGGATCAAGCATCCATTATGCTATCAAGATGGCAAATGATAAACTGTTAAACAGCACACAACAAAGGCGAGGCGATGGACGGTATAGGTGTGTTTACACCTAGATATCCTATCAGCTACAACACATACGATAACGCGGTTGATACTCACGGGATATGTGCTGCTGATCTTATCTCGGCAACAAGAATGCTATAATAGGGTGTATATTATCACAGAATGTAACGTAAAACTGTACCAGTGAGTTCACACATGACTAGTGAATTTAAAACTGTACCAGTGAGTTCACACATGACAAGTGAATTTAAAACTGTACCAGTGAGTTCACACATGACAAGTGAATTTAAAACTGTACCAGTGAGTTCACACATGACAAGTGAATTTAAAACTGTACCAGTGAGTTCACACATGACAAGTGAATTTAAAACTGTACCAGTGAGTTCACACATGACAAGTGAATTTAAAACTGTACCAGTGAGTTCACACATGACAAGTGAATTTAAAACTGTACCAGTGAGTTCACACATGACAAGTAAATTTAAAACTGTACCAGTGAGTTCACACATGACAAGTGAATTTAAAACTGTACCAGTGAGTTCACACATGACAAGTGAATTTAAAACTGTACCAGTGAGTTCACACATGACAAGTGAATTTAAAACTGTACCAGTGAGTTCACACATGACAAGTGAATTTAAAACTGTACCAGTGAGTTCACACATGACAAGTGAATTTAAAACTGTACCAGTGAGTTCACACATGACAAGTGAATTTAAAACTGTACCAGTGAGTTCACACATGACAAGTGAATTTAAAACTGTACCAGTGAGTTCACACATGACAAGTGAATTTAAAACTGTACCAGTGAGTTCACACATGACAAGTGAATTTAAAACTGTACCAGTGAGTTCACACATGACAAGTGAATTTAAAACTGTACCAGTGAGTTCACACATGACAAGTGAATTTAAAACTGTACCAGTGAGTTCACACATGACAAGTGAATTTAAAACTGTACCAGTGAGTTCACACATGACAAGTGAATTTAAAACTGTACCAGTGAGTTCACACATGACAAGTGAATTTAAAACTGTACCAGTGAGTTCACACATGACAAGTGAATTTAAAACTGTACCAGTGAGTTCACACATGACAAGTGAATTTAAAACTGTACCAGTGAGTTCACACATGACAAGTGAATTTAAAACTGTACCAGTGAGTTCACACATGACAAGTGAATTTAAAACTGTACCAGTGAGTTCACACATGACAAGTGAATTTAAAACTGTACCAGTGAGTTCACACATGACAAGTGAATTTAAAACTGTACCAGTGAGTTCACACATGACAAGTGAATTTAAAACTGTACCAGTGAGTTCAC